AAGGCGTAACATGCGATAAAATTGAGTTGAAAACGTGTTTCAAATCTAAAATTAACAAACTGTAGCGCGGGCAGTCAACCATTCAGTCATTCCGTCAGTCAGTCTGTCAATCGCCCTGTTTCACTGCGCCATGGCTCTAGCCTGCATGTAAATGACTTTTTAATGATGTATCCAGTCGAGGGTATTCGAAAGTCCGGGGTGTCACTCTCCCTCTCCCCATCCCTTTCTCTTCATATATAGACAGACCTGTATTCCATTTCAAGTGCCATAGTTTGGCCGCCTAATTGCTAACATAATTTTACACTTTAATAGTTTTTTACGTGCCCTGACCTGTGCCAATGCCTGGGCCAGCCCAATATTGGTTTCACATGTAAATGAGGCTCTGATTAGCGCAAGTCATGAATTTCAATTTGAGCCTAATTAATTGTTGTTTCAAATTCTTTGCGTGCTGCTGCGCACATGGAGCTAATACCTGACAATTTACCTTTTGTTTTCTTTTTTTTTTTTTTTTTATGTCTCCCTAATTGGTATTACCATTGCGGGTGGATATAATTTCGAGTGGCTAATTGTGTTCACTTACATCTAATTACAGCCCGGGCTAATGCTAAAACATTCCATTAGAAGCGAACAAGTAGTATTTAAGCTCAGTTGTTCATTTTCATTGTTGGCCATTTGATTCATTTACATTTGAGACACTTATTGAAAGTTACGGCTTATAGATACTTGCTGGTATATCGATGATATTTCTAATTTATGAACAAGAGAACGATTTCTAGCTCATTGAAAAAGTATGATTGAATCAATCAATGATTGATTACTACGAAGGCCGGCTAATGACTAACTGACTGGCTGATTGCATGACTCTTTAACTAGCCGTCATTTTAACTAAATGAACGATTTAAAAAAACTTGATTGAATATCTAACAGTGATTGACTGACTGACTTAAAGTCACTGGTGACTGGATTTATTGAGTGATTGACTGGCCAGATAAATGAATGATTTACTATTATTACTATTTACTAAACGAGTGGTCAATTGATTAACCACTTGACTAACTGATTGAACAACTGTTGGAATGATTGACAAACTAATTGAGTGAGTGCTTGACTTGACTAATTCAGTAATTGACTGACTGATTGACTGACTGTCTAACTCAGTCATTAGCTGACTAAAAATCTACTACAACTAACTTCCACTAACTGATTGATAGAAGGCATGAGCGATTTACTAATAGATGACTGAGTAACTGATTCAGTGATTGATTCAATGAACTGCCTGATTGATTGACTGAATAGATATAAGATCATCTAACTATCTGAATAATCATTAGCTAACTGATTGTATAACTCCCAGATTAGCTGACTCGATTGCTAACAGATTGATTGATATGTTGATTGATAAGTGTAATTTACTAATTGACTGGCTAACTGAATGCGTGTTTTACTTTCAGTATAACTGTCTGACTAACAATCTGGCTAAATGACCGATTGACTGACTGACTCAAAAGCTCTATAACTAGCTAAGTAGATTCGTGATTGACTGAACTATTGATAAATTGATTAATAATTATATAATTACCTGACTGCCGATGGATTGATTGGATAGAAGACTGAATGACTACTACTACTAACTGATTGATTAACTAATCAAAAACCTATTATATAAATATATATTTATAATTTTTCACTATATGTCTAAGTCGCAATTACACTTTCTAACAAAGAATCGCATAGCACATTCTTACCAAAAATTGCATCA